TGTGACCTGTCAACGCTGAACTTGTCTCGGAAGATGACTTACGTTTTTCAGAAACAGAGTTGGGAATGGACCTCTCTCTCGGCTAGAGGCGAGCAGTTGAGACTTCTGTGAACTTTGTAAAATTTTTGACCGTTTGCAGCTTTGAATGTTGTCACTTGATACAATTGCAAAAGATTGATTATGGATTTGAAACATGATACCAACCTGCAATTTATAAGAGAGAAGCCGGTAAGCTCGAAGAAGGCTCGAAGAGGGCCTTGAAGTTGTCTCTTCAACAAAAGGTTACGGGACGTCGGGCATGAAGAGAGCACAGATTCGCATCAGATCTGCGGAGACGAAGGAATCTGTTGCCTTCTCGGAACCAAAGGGGGGCTTCTGGGCGCTTTGAGAGGGACTCAGAAAAGGGAAGCTGAAAGGGGTTTAAGGGGGATTCAGAAGGGTTTGAGGGGGTTCCGGGGAAGGGTGAAGGGTAAGAGAGCTCCACTGAGGTTCGCGCGCTGCCAAAAAACTTGATTCTAAGATTTAACAAGGCAGCCTCCCTGCACTCAATCAAGGACAACCAAGCTGAAAAAGCACTCTCTCTGGGCCTGCCATAGCTAGGCTCAGAAACTTCAAAAACAAGAAGGCAGTTTTGGAACCTGTTTGGAGACTGCGCCCAAGTTCGGATTTTATCCCAGCTTTCTGCAAGCCACTGGTGCGGTGCGTACAAGGAATTCTGAACCTACAGGCAAGCATAAAACACACAAATTCAATTTTCTCACTCAACTTAAATCAAGCACTAAAACTGTCTTCCAGTTTTCTCTCTTGCGCAGCGACGGTCCTTGTACGAGCCAAGAACGTGTGCCTTGCGTTGTTGGGCGCTGTTGCGTCCCGCTCGTACTGCCAAAGCAGACGCATCGACAAGCTGTGACCACCCTGTTGGATCCAAGCTCAAAGAGGACGTACCTCGTTTTACAACCTGGAATCATTCGATTTTGGCACAGAAGAGCAGGTAAGAGTTTCGATTTACAAGCTGTCGATCGCATTGCCGCAGCGGTTTGGCAACAATATTGTCGTTAGCAAGGTACTCCTGCGAGTTTTCAATGAGGCAAGCCTGATAGTCACATGCACTGATTGCAAAACCACTCATTCTGCTTATATGGAACATGGAATGTCGAGTATGGCAACGCCGGCCGTGTAAGCTCCCACACAGGGGCGGTCCTTCAAATCTGTCACACAGCTCCCAATTCAAGAGCAGCTTCGTTGGCAGTGGTCTCTTGAGTGGGCCACAGCCCCCTGCCTATGACAAAATCCGTGACCGTGAGATTGTCAAGAAAATTGCGAACATGGGCGCGACCCCCTTTCGCTCATGATCTAGAACGGCTCAAACACGCACACGCGCGCGCCCACGTTTGTGTAAAAATTGAATGTAGGTATACACATATATGTATATATATCTTCATATACTTAGTATGACAATAAACCATACGCGAAATTTACACGTGATCATATACATATACATATACATATACATATACATATACATATATACCAGCCGCAGCTGATGCCGACTTCGCGCTCGCAAAGTGCTCGTCGTTTCGCCGCGGAATGCGATCTCAAGAGTTTGCATTCTTCATGTCTTCTTATATCGCCGGGCGACGCTATCTGAATGTTACAACACTTAAAGCTTGGGTTAAACTACACATGTGGGGTTCTCCGGTCTTTTAATTTTTTATAGACAATGAAGCGGCTAAGTTTTTTTTGTCCGGAACTATTCGGTTCAGATTAACATCACCGCTTTGTTGCATGAGAGCGCTCAACTTGACTTTAGCTCGCAGGCCCTGTGTTGATACAGTCGTGTACTGAGCAAGAGCAACCTCTCAGATGCAGCATCGAGACTAGTGTTCGATTGCTACGTGGGATTCAAAAAGGTGGACCTTGTCTTCTGCCTGTGAGAGAAGAGTGGGGAGGAGGGCAGGCAGAAGTGTTGTCCAGGTTGACCAGTGCAGCAGTGCACGGGGAACACGTGCCCCATTCGTTGAGAGTCCAGGTGAAGGGCGAGAAAAAGTTGGGGTCCGAGCGTCCACTGCATCTTGAGTTGAATCGTTATTTGATCAGGCATGTCCAATATATTTGGTGAGATAAATATTTATTGATTGATTCGAGTGTGGAAGGATTTTGGTGATCCATGATTTCGAAATTAATATATACATGTATTACTCTGTATGATACGACATACATATATACGTATATATATATATGTATGTATGTATGTATGTATGTATGCATTACCTCTCACCGGACAGTAACTTGTCCGCCGATGCAGGGTCTGGTCCCAACAAGGCGGCAACCGACGCACTTCCCACGTCGATCGGGTAGTTGCGCTGGGGCAACCGCGCAAAAAAAAAGACGTTGTTTTCTTTTTCACCCTCGCGCAACATGCCCTTCGCTTCGTCCGGCTTATCGTCTCGCCTTTCTGGTGTTCTCTTTACACGCTTCTTCGTATTTCGGCGGGCGACGGCATCCAAATCTTATCTCACTTAGGTTCAGGTTGTATAAGCAACACATGTAGGGTTTTCCGGTCTTTTAATTTTGACTTTTGTTTGGTCACCCATTATGATTTGTGTGGTTGTTGTTTGAGTTTTGATCCCCCACCAGCGAAAGGGGTGTGACTTCAGGCTATAGATTCGTAGATTCGAGCAAGGAGTGACTACAGAGCGGATCGTTTCCTTTGTTGGCTTCCGGAACGTATGCAGAAACATTGAGTTCTGACCGCGGCTTTTGGGTTGAAAGACATGCGATTCGGAATGATGAGCAACGTGCGGAATTTTTTTGGGAGCTGGAATGGTTGTGACACTAACACCAACTTTGCAGGTTTCAATGTTGTTTAGCTGGTTGAGTTTCGAACCCAGTTTTTCAATTTTTATGTATCTAGTTTTGCCTGCAAATGAAAATTGTGGCGATTGAGCACTTCCCTCGCTTGCCACACCGTTTCCCTCACTTGCCATGCCCCCTCCTGTGCGCAGGCTACCTGATATCTTTATAACGCAAGGTTGGACGCCCACATGCAAATCCCGCTGACCTGCCATCCCATGATTCGTGATGGTACTCAGCACATTACTTTCCTTCCAAGCGTTCGGTTTTTCAAAAATGTTTGCTAGTAGCAGATGAATCAGAGAGGATGCTTATCCTTCGCGCTACACACCATTCATGGTCTTCGGCGGGCGCTCCGTCGTCGAGAACTTTTGCTGCAGGCGGGAAACTTTAAAGTCGGTGCCTGCGGACGGATCACATTTGTAGTTTGTAGCCTTCAGAAATGCACCCTGCTTGCTAATAACAATTTGTTGTTCGTAGGCGTCTCAGTAACACGTGATGTGTATGACCCAAGAGCTGTTGCATGATGGCGATTCATTCACAGGCACATCGATTGCGTCACTGACAGGCAGTCGACCACCTCGTTGGAAACGCGTTTGCCTCATTTTCTTACTTTTAGCATTCATGCACAGAATCCGTGAGACATCACCATGTCTGACATGGTTCGTAGCAGGTGTAAGCTTGCCAGCTTGCTGAGAGGGGCTTGTTTACGTGTCAGGGTTCGTAGGCAGGCAGGGCATATAAACTTTCTGGGCAATGCGTTGCGCGTTTTCCTTACGATTTGGGTCGTGTATTGCAATTTTTTCTTTGCCAATGCATGTGCCTACCCAACGATTAACTTGACCAAAAAAACCAGGTTACACTGTCCCACACCTGCACAACCCTTTCATGATCTTGGATCAGCTCTAATACCGATCACATAACGGCCTAAGCCCTAAGGCCACACCGTGGGGTTCCCAAGTGGCCCAGGTTATCATCTAACTGCCGTCGGGCATGCGTGTTCCGCAACCAGTGATATGGATGATGGCTACACAGTCACATCCGACACTCCGACATCTGCTGGAGGCTGGTGTTGTAAGGGACTGCTGCAGGGGATTTAGGCTTCAGAGTTTGTAGGTCAATCCTTAATATGTGGGACACAACCAGGTAGCTTGGGAATATGTAGTGTGCAAACATGGAAGGGCCAATTTACGAGATCCCGAAGGTTCATCTCGCAAAACTGTTATGTGGGTTTTGGGCTTAAGAATCGGAGCTTAATGCAAGCTTGGTTGATTTGGGATGGAAATGCAACCACACAAGATGCACACAGATTTCCTGACAATAGAAGAAGGAGCAACGCCCGACTTGAGGATGCGCCTTTGAGAAGGGTCAGGGAGTACAGGCGTAGATATTCAGAGCGCGGAATGTGATGGCATTTTGTTGCATTCTGAGGGACATGGGTGAATGCAGAGCAGTTCTTCGAGATTTCATATTCACACTGCCAAAACCCCTTATCCCCCGACTCCACCTCTTTCTCTGCCTCTGGGCTCCACAGACCTACCAAGGGTTTGACAACCAACGTGCAATAGCATACAGCCCATATGTTTGTTCCTCGAGGGGAAGTAGTCCACATAGGGCCCTTTTGCGAAGCTCCTGGCTAGGTTGCCGGAGTCTAGAGATTTTGGGTCACTGCGGATTTGCAGGACATGGAGAGAAGAGAATTTGCCTAAACCGAAACCGTTTTGTTACAGTAGTCTTTGCAACCCACTCCTCCGATCTTTCTCAGCTGACAGCAAGTTAAAACTTATAATGAAGGAGATGCAGGGTGACATTTTTAAAGCAAAGTTTAGGGTTTGGGGTTCAGTTACAATGACAAATCCAACTAAAGACTTAAACGTGCTAAATGAGCAGTAGGATTCCCATAGGCATGCTTTAGTCAGTTTAGTCCCAGGTTACAAGCAATATCAAGTAGTACGTCCCTTTTTGATTGTAGCGTTTTAAGAACGCAAACGAGCCAAGCTTGTGGAACCACCTGTGAAATCGTCAGCGGAGATCGAAAAATCACGGTCCTTGAACCCTATCCCCCAAACTTTAAACCCTGAAGCTCCAAGAAACCACTGGGTCCCCTGCTAATTCCCTGCTATGGATCCTTGCTTACGCCTAGAGCCCTAAACCATGATTTGTAAATCCTAAGCCCCAAACCCTGAACCCGAATCCCTAACTGGATCCACTCTGAATGCCAGGCACAGGCACAGCCCCACAGCCGGTGAGGCGCTCGGCCTTTGAAGAAATGGAAAGATTGGGTAGGCCCCTGGGATATTTAATATTTTCCCTAATGGCTTTAATAAGGGACCCTATATACTAATATTTGTCAAAGGGTTTTAGGGCCAACCCAGAAGAAACGGTTTGAGGGGTTAGGTTTCGTGGTTGTCGGATTTCAATATCAGGGTTGAAGACGCTGTTAGACAGAGTTTGCGGCCTGTAAGAGGGCTAAGGGTTCAGTGCTTGTGTCCGGGTTGGGGTTACGTTTAGGTTTGTTCAGGGTGTAGGGGTGGGGGTTCAGGGCTCAGGGTTTGAGGCCTAGGGTTTAGGGTCTAAGCTTTGGGCTTTCACGTTTTGGGTGTAGGTGTTGGGCTTTAGGGTTGAGGGTTTGGGGCCAAATGGTTGGGGTTGAGGGTTTGGGTTTTTGCGTTTGGAGTTTAGGGCTTAGGGTCCAGAATCCCAGGTTCCCTCACCATGCGAGTTTCTTGGGTGCATGGCCCGCATGAGAACTTGGACGCAGTCCGTTAAGCATCCATGTACAGGACATGTGGAAAACCCAAAAGGTAATGGCCTATACGCTCTTCTATTCATTACTTCATATGACAGTCGTGTTTCGTTATATGCCTACCTGGCATGGACCTGACTGGGTAGGCAAAAAAGGCACTCGAACTGGCAATGCAGTTCGTATCAGTAGTACAGGATGATTAAAGTTCCTTGAGACCCTAGAAGAATGTGTTTTTCTGGACATTTCCATATGCACCGAAGATTCAGTCCAGTTTTTTGTTCATTAGTTTTTCTATCTTACGGGTTTCTTGTGTAAGGACGTAAATACCGAAACCTTCAACCCTGAACCCTACTCCTCTCGTTTCCTAGGCTAGTGGCAATTTATGTCTTTGACAGAAAAGTGTGGTGATCTATCAAAGTGGGCCGCTGAGATTTCCAGACCCCAAATCCTGGTATTGGGTGGGCCCCTGGGAGATTTACTATTTTCCCTAATGGCTTTAACAAGGGACCCTATATACTAATGTTTTTCAAAGGGTTTTAGGGGCCCACCCAGGGTATCAGTTGTAAGTTTAGGGCCTTGGAGATCCCCCACCCCTAATCTTTAAGATCTTCAACCTAAGCTTTGAGCCCTAAACACTATCCTATACCTTAGCTCCTAACCCCCTAGGCCCTAACCTCTATTCCGGTCCCCTTTGCACCTATTTCTTCCAAGCTTGGCCCAGCTCTTAATTTGCCAGTTACTTCAGAGTTTACGGTTGGGGGGGTGAGAGTGCAGAGGCTTGGGTTTAGGGTTGGCCCCGTTTAGGGTTTAGTTCAGGGGTTCTGATGTTTCTTAGGAATAGGAGGGCAGAGCTGCTGGTGAGGCTGGGAAGGTTTTAAAAAACTTAAGGCACTGCCGGCACCTGCGGCCAAGGTTTATTGAAATGGAGGCACCCTTGGATCAGATTATTCCAATAAATATCCCCAATATATCCCTCATATAGCCCCTATATACACCTCCCCCCGACTCCCCCCCCCTCCCACACCCCCTTCCCGAGAAGATCCCTCTTGCAATCTCAACACGATGCGATAGTTCATGCAATGCTTTGCTATACCCTAAACGCTGTAGCACACGCAGCCGTTTGCAAGCAATTCTCTTAGTGAGCGAACTTCAGCCCTACGCAAGGTTCCCACCTGGGTAACTTTTTGAAACTGTACCATAGTATATCAGAATATACCATATCATATCATATATACCAGGATTTCCCATATCATATCATAGTATACCGTCATGATACCAAAACATACCATAATGTACTATAACATAGTGGACTTCTTCGAGATGCGAGCCTATGGACCTTTGCCCTTGCAGCTGCAAAACCCTCCCCCCGTATCTCAAAAAGGGGGGTGCAAATCTCTGAAGCATTCCTCGGTGGCTGATACTCGTTCTGGAGATGACCTTCAGGGACCTCATTTCTTGGGAATTGCATTATTCTTGTCTTCGAAGATCATGCCAGGGTTTTTGTATCCACTGTATGATGGTCCCTATAAGCCCTTCCCTCATGCCTTAAACCTACACATGTTGGTGACACATTCTATAACCCTAAACTTGACCATGAACCTAAACCCTGAAACCTAAACTTGGCCCTAAACCCCAAGCAGTGGCTGCAGTTGACTTTGTTTTGAGGTGCAGCTACTCTTGGCTGCTTTAGTGGGATGTGAGCAGGCGCGGTTACGGGTTAACGCTGGGCTACAACCTAAACCCAATATCCTGAACCAAAATCGTAAACCGTCTAGGGTGTAAGGTGCACAGGCTTGCAGAGTGGACATTGGGGCTTTCTCTTGTAGTTGAGTATAGTCCTTAATATAGTCCCCAATAAGAAAACCACGGGTTGCAATCCAGGTTGAAGGGTTCAGGCGTTTGGTAATTACTTAGGTTGAGGATGCAGGCTTGGAGTTGGCTGAAAGCCTGAGAAGTATAATTTCCTGGTTGCAAGGTAGGATAATCTACAGCCTCTTAAATCCCCCCATGGCCTTTACCTCAACAAGAACTCTAAGTTGGTTGCTGTTCAGGAACTTGAATTAGACTACCATCACGGCCCCAAAGCTTTTTGTCCGGAAGTTGATTGGGGCTTTGGGTTAAGGGTTTAGGGTTGAGGGTTTCATACGCACGGGTTTAGGGTCTAGGGTTTGGGGATGAGAGTTGACATGGACCCTAGGTTACTGGACACAGCCTTTCCGGGTTGTGTCCTGCATGTTTGTTTTACATCCATGAAATCAAAGGTTCCGTAGGGTCCTAGTAGAGGTTAGGGATTGGGCGTTGGATATGGGGATTTGGGTTCAAGCGCTAGGGCTAGGCTGTGTGCGGAATTTGCAAAGCACAAATCAAGCCCCCAATCCCCAAACCTACCTAACAAACCTAGACCCTGGAGCCGTACTAAATCCCGAGCCCAAAAATCCTAAACCCGTTGCCCTACTCCCCTGAAGGCCCTAAAAGCCTCAACTCCAAACCTTCAAATTAGAATTTAAAAGTACGTTAGCCCAACAATTCCCGTAAATCAATTTTCATTTCATCTGCCACATGATGTTTTCATGTGGTTCCCCGTTTGATCTTGCACCGTTCTGCCCCCCCTCCCCCCCCCTCTCTTTGAGCCCGGCACCAAACTAAAACTAATCTCCTGAGCCCTGTACCCCAGACCATTCTCCCTGAAGGGAAATTGAAATCAACATGCCCGAATCCCCACTGAATCCCAAATATCCCTTCATCTCTCCGTCCCCAAACTCTAAACCCTAAACCCTAAACTCTAAACCCTAACCGAACCCTCCCGCCAGCCAGGCCACTGCTCACTTCATCGCAACCAAGCTCCGCTTGCCGCCCATAAGACAAATCAGGTTCCTTGGCTGAGCAGGGTTTTCAGATATTACAACCTATTATTATATACACATAATATACCCATTATATACCCATGATATATTATAATATACTCGTAATGTACTCATAATATAGTCATAATATACTATACTATGTTCATCATATAATATTAGAATATATGATAATATGTATTTATTGGGGTCTTGGGTTTAGGGTTGAGGGTTGGGATTTGGGTTTTGGTGTTTGGTTTCGGGTTTAGGGCATGGAGTTTAGGGTCTGGGGTTTAAGGTCTAGGTAGCAAAGGTTCCAACACGTCAGCCCCCTTAGAATATTGCTTCCTAAACACTAAAGCATCCAAAGCCCTAAACCCTAAATCCTAAACCCTAAACCCCTAAACCCTAAACCCTTTTTCAAATGTGTATATTATCCCAAGCTCCGGGATGCACAGGGTTCAAGGGGTTGGTTTAGACCATGATCCCGAACCTCGTGCACTTCCAAGCCCCCAATCCCCTGAACCTTTCAGAGCCTGCCATCCTTTAAATGCATAGCAGGCTATGAAATGTACGAGTATCTACTAGCCTTGCTAACCCTGTACACCTTCCACAGCCCACATTTTTACGTTCCCACCCGTTTGGGTTTCTTGAACGTTTAGAGGTTTGACATCCACGCTGAGCGCGACGAATGGGGCAGCCTCGCTCCACCTGTTGCCCGGCATTCACCGTTCTAGAGATCCTCGAACTATCCTGGTGGTTCGTATGGAATATGGGAATGCATTCTACAGGGGTTATATGGGGATCATATTCCCGTATTCCCAACTAACATCCAGTAAGCGACAGAGGTATGGGCTTTTGGAGGGAGTTGAGGGTTGAATGTTGTTTGGACGTCTCCAAGTCGGGGTGCAAATGAGATTGTGTTGTTTCGGGAGCAACTGCGGGGTTGCACTATCATTATATAGATTTGGTCATGACTGCTCATATGGGTGCATGCGTGCAACTGTAGCAGGAGATGATGTTGCATGCCGGGAGTCATGAGGATTTGGCACGCAAGGTTTGGATACCTCAAATGATGGGATTACATGGATGCATGTGGTGGTTCTGTGATCTGGGATTCCCGCAAGGGGTTTCCATACGGTCTGAGAATTCCCCCCAAAAAGAAAAACTTCAGAAAAGCGGCAGCTGTGGGCATATGGGGCTTAAGCCTAAACCCTTAACTGAAAACTGCTAAGCTTTGCAATTCCTCCAAGCCCAACACCCCTAAACCCGAGACCCCAACCCAAAAATTCCTAAACCCAAAATGCCTTCGACCTCAAGCCTGAGCCCTGAACTTGAACACCACCGGAACCGTTCTTTCTAAAATCGAGTTTGGAGTCTCCCAAACAATGAACCCCTAAACACCCCTTAGCCCCTAAACGCCAGACCCTGCACCCCCCCAATTCTAAACCCCCAAATCCTAAACCCCTTAAACCCAAAACCCAAAACCTTAAACCCCCTAAACCCAAAACCCTAAACCCCAAACCCAAAACCCCCTAAGCCCAAAATCCCCAATCCTCCTGGGCCCTCCCAAGGTGAAGCAGCCGCCACCAACGCTGAGCCGGCTGCAGAGGCCAATGAGCGGTTTAGGGTGTAGGGGTTAGGGTTTAGGGTTTAGGGTCTAGGGGTTAGCGTTTAGGGTTTAGGGGTTTAGGGTTTAGAGTTTAGGGTTTAGAGTTCAGGGTCTACGGGTTAGCATTTAGGGTTTAGGGTTTAGGGTTTAGGTGTAAGACTTGCGAAAATTGAGGCATCCCATTTCACTAAGAGGCAAGTCACAGAGGCTTAAAAGGAGTTGTATAGGGATGTAGGCATATTGTAGGCATATACACGCAGGGCTTAAAACGGTTGTTTGTGGGACGATAGGGTTGTTTTCGGTATTTTCAATGCAGAGCTCCGGTTTCATGGGTTCCTAGGAACCTACGCTAAGCCAGCACCCTAGCTTCATCCAATCTAACCCTGGAAGCCCAAAAGCGGACTTACAAAAACAATTGGCGAAAGAAGGGTACCCTAAAACCCAAAAACTAAACTCTAGAGAGGGGACTGTTGTGGTGCAGGTCAGCGAGGCATCAGCTCGGTTTTTTACCTCTATGTAGGCTCTCTTCTGAGGCTTCATGCTGTTCTAAGAAAAGGGTGAACTATTGCCACTCCCAT